TTTGAGCAAACTCTATAGGCACTAATGATAAACATGAAAGACAGAGAACTACTGGGCTTAAAACTAAAGACATATAAAACAATTTTATTAAACAACAATGACCTACTCCTTCCAGAAAAAAAGCTATTTTAATAATCATTTAAAACCTTTCATTATTTTCTTTTCTTCATTATCTAATCATAAACTGAATACCAAGGTTGAATTAAGAGTGGGGGCAGATTACAGTATGTAAAGCTTCATAATAGATTGGAGCAGTTTTAATTAAAGTTACCAGGACAGCCGGAGGGAGACAGGATACACTGTAATTGGAAAAGTGTCACTAGAAAAATGTGTTTATTATAACCTTGATCCTATTTTCTTTGAGCAAAATGTCTAGAGACCTTCATTAACTCAGCAGATCCCCTTGGCTGTGCTGGGTGGTGAACAATAAGACCACTGATTTAATTCACCTCCATCTTTCAGGAGACACCATTGGAGGTTGGACTGCTTTGTTGAAAAGCTTTCTCTACGAACCGTTCATTAACACTTGCAGATTTTTCAGCCTAGTGCAGGCTAAAATAAATGTTAATAACAATGATGTGGTTTTTTTTTTGCTTCTAAACATCGTTTGATTTGAGATTGCTTAAGAATAAACCAGTAATCTTTGCAAAAAACTATTTAGGCAGTTTGTGAGGCATAAGCATAGCAAGAAAAAATACTCATTTAGGAAATATATATTGTAAATAAAATGGCTAAAATTACCAGTGTGGACCTACAGGGGAAAAAAGCTAGACTCATAAACAGACATCCTGAAATTAAATTCCTCCAGAGCCTCATGTTATCTATAGAAATCTTGAACCAGAACCCTAGTCTTTTCTCATTTTCCTCATTTATAAAACAAGAATGAACAGATGTTTAATGTGCCTATTTCACAGGATTTCTGTAAGAGATTAATGCATATCAATCATCAGAATCATAACATGTTTTTATAATGCTACAAAAACAAAACCAAAAAATGACTTAAGTGGAAAATCTGTTTTGCCATAAAAGAGGTAGTTTTATGGCAACAGCAACAAAATTTTTATATTGATTTCTCTTCCAGCTCTTTCTAAGGTTAGTTGATGGAGCAGATCAAAAGATCATAGTACAATATAAGCATGAATAAAAAATGAAAATAAATGCTGAAACTGAAAAAAAAATTGGTTGAAATAGTTTTGACTCAAACATATAAACAAATGCAATAAGCATGAAGCCATAAAATAAGTTACAATTTCATTTTTAATCAACAGGCTATAAAAGACAATTAAAAATTTAATGTTCGAATGCATAAAATCAGTATACATGCAGGCCTAATAAAATTTATCACAGACATTATAATTATTTCACTAAAAAAACAAAAAACACCTTCAGTTGTTCATTTCCTTAAAAAAAAAACTGAATTATATAAACTCCTAGGGAATTTCTTTGGTAGATATATGATAAAACAACCAGTTCAATTTACTTCTTTTTCAAATATTTTATATCTATAATACATATTCAGAAGTATATTATGTTGATAATCTTGATACTGAAAAATAAACATTTAACTTTTTCAAATTCAAATAAAAATTTTTGAATAATATATATTTTATTTCATTCAATCTTTTTTTAAGTGTCAGTAGTTTCTTAAAAAGATCATTTATATTTTACCAGATATTTTTCTAGTATACTTCGAGATTAGGACATTGTGGGCCCATTAATTTCATGTTCATATTTCTAATACATGTGTTCAAACTGTGTATATATTTAAAATATTGATATTTGCCAAATAAATATATATTTATATATAAATCTGTGTCTGTATCTCTATCTACAACCCTACCTGACTACAGAATGAAAATTTCTGTATTTATATTTAATCTTAAAATCCCTCCAACTATCTCTTCTTTTGGATGCTTCTTATTCCTTATCTCTTTTATCTTCTTATTGAATTGATTTGGATGACACTGGATAATACAATGATAGAAGTTTCAGTTGTACAATTCAATAATACATTACCTGTTTACCGCATTTTGTGGAAACCACCCCTAGTCAAGTCTCTTTACACCCCCCTTTTCTGAAGAGGACTGATATAGGATTCACTGAAAAATTCATAACCTTCTAGAATATTCTATTACCTAAAACATACTTCTTAATCTGAATGAATGATAATTTACAGCATGCTACCTAACCCTCATTCCTTCCTCATTATGATTATACAATTCTTCAGCCCAAATGATATATTTGTGTTAAAAAATAAGAATAGAGATTTGAAGTCAGACATACCTGATTTCAAAGCCTCTTACATTCTTCCTACTCAAAGTATAGTCTTTGTACCAGGAGCCTCAACATCACCTGGGAACTAATTAGATTTTTAGTATCTCTATCCAGGTGACTGAATAAAAATCTGCATTTTAACAAGAGCCACAGGTAAACTACACGCACATTAAAGTTTGAGAAGCACTAGCATCACTTATTAAATATGTTTCCTTGAGCAAGTTAAAAGTATTCTCAAAAACGCAGTTTCGTCATTGAAAAATGAGACTAATGTTGACGTCTAGAGCTTAGTACTATTGTGAGAAATAATTAGATAATGCTACTTACTAAACATGCAATGAAGTCAACTAGTACTAAATTTTATCATATACCTCAAATTTGTACATTCAAAACTTTTCCAATACATTTACTTATGAAATAACATTGGTATCCCACACAGGTAAACTGGAGCTCCTTTAGTCCAGAAGTCTCCCTAAGCATAAGCCTACAACAAAAATAGAGGCAAATCCAAAATGCCATCCTGCATTTATTTACAGGACAATGTAGCCTCAAAATAGTTTTTAAAATAATGTGCATTTTTTATTTGTGTGGAATCAAACAAACTTGAATAAAGAACTTAATTTGAAAATGAACATAAATGTTTCTCCCTGACATTAAATCTAACTAATTTACATATAATTAGGCATTATATTTTCTGTATTCTGCCATCTTGCACTCAAGACAGGCACTGATCCCCCAGAGGACTTGAGTCACGCACCAGGTGTCTAGACCATCAAATCCAACTGATTAAGGGGGAAAAAAAGTCTCAATGGGTTTCCATTTGAATCCAATTAAGGCATGATTCATTGTATTCCATTTCATTTTTCAAGGGCCTTTCATATCCAGATAACCTGCTGCCTGCATCTGGGGCGGGGGGGGGGAATGTAAGCTGCTAAAGATCAACACAACATTTTCAGCTGTCATTAAGTGAATATTAATCACTTAAGTAACAAGTATCTCATTTTTATTAGGAAAATTTTTCTTGAAAACACACTTTACATCTATAAACAACACCTAAAAATGAAATCACATACCCCAAATTGAAGGTAATAATGTTTTGAATCTTCTAGTCATGAAATATTATCTTATCATAAATGACTTACTTATACATGTTTTAAAAATAAAATATTTTAAGTTCTGGCAATAGGGCATATCAAAGATTACAAAAAAAACTCCTATTATATTACAACAAGACCCTGAATATTTTAAGAAACATGAAGATTTATAATGGCCCAAAAATTAACGGGAAATTTCTGTGTCAAAAAAATATATATATATAAATATAGTATAATAAGCTAAAACTCTGAATAGGGGTGATAAGTGAACAGAAAATTCTCAGTAGTCCTGCGACAAATACCTGCAACAGTGCTGAGAGTTGTAGAATAAGAGGGATGAAGCTTGAGCTCTGACAGTATATCTAACAAAAAGTATATAGTAATATTATGAAAAAATTAAAAATTTATGAATAGCATAAAAGTTTGCTAAACAAAAACAGTATCATGATTATAAATAGAAAGACAAAAATCATTATATCAATTTGCAATTTTGTCTGAGTCCCTGCAATACCAATCGAAATCCTGTAAAGATCTTCTTGAATAATAGCATGCTGAATCTAAACTTTGGATAATTTGTAGAGGTTCAAGAATACTCTGAAGTTCATGAGCCTACTGAAGAAGCATACAGTGAGAAACTGGCCAGTCAGACAACTCACTTGATATTTGGAGCTCAGTGGGGGAAGTGGGGGAAAGCAAGCTATTTAATATATGGCTCTGGGAAAAATGGGTAGAAAACTTACAGACTAAAATTACAGATACATATTGGTTGCCGGTGGATTAAATAAATCTAAAAGACACAGAACCTTTTAAAATAAAATATATAAAATAATGTTTATAACCTAAGGGTAGCGAAGGATTTCTTACACAAAACACATACCCAAAAATATTAATAATTTTTAAAGTTGACTTCGACTGCACTAAAATTAATCATTTATATCATCAAAATGCACTAAAAAAGTGAACAAACCACATTTAACAACAAAGAATAAATGAATAAATTGAGATATAGCATCATAAAATAATATTTAACCATGAGTAAAATAAAGCTAAATACAAACATCCAGATAAATCACGCAAACATAATATTGATGGAAGAAAGTCACTGAGAACTACATATGTATAATACAATTTTAATAAAGGTGAAAAACAAGCAAACTAGCAAATATGTTGTTTAGCAAAACATTTATCTGAGGTACAGCTATTTTTAAAAAGCAAAGAAAGTAATGAACTATCTAGAGCCCTGGCCACCTCTGGCAGCGTGGCAGGGTGACGGACAGGAGGGTACTACTAAGGCAGCTGAAAGGGTGTTGGCAATATTTGTGGGTTTTTATGTTGTATGATAAATTTAAACATTATTATTATGTATCACGACTTAACATATATATAAATGGATGCATGTACCAATTAAAGACACTGTTCCTATATATTACAATCACCTAACACAAAAATAAACTAATAAGCTAACTGATTATTTTAAAATTACAATGAAACTATGGTATCTCACCTTTCTCGAAAATATTAAATGAACAGTTTCTATGGTAAAGAAAGCATACTAACTGAAACCTCCAATAAAGCATGAGATATAGTAAATAACAGAAAATATTAAAATGAGCAGGCCCAATTTAAACTCACCACCAAGGCTTTAGATCTGTTGCTTAGAAGTTTTTCAATATCTCTGGCTGCAATTTCCACCAGCTGGCGTGCATTATTTGGTTCCACAGTATACGATTCTTGGTATTTTTCATAAATCTGTGGGAAGGCAAAAGAAAATTATTATGAACAAAAATTGCTTATTTGGCTCATAAGTTCACATTAGAATGTATTTCAAAACCATCAACAATTGATTAGAAAAACCCACTATACCTTGATCTTTTCAGAGTTTCGGTGTGTCAAAAATAAAGATATTAATGTTAGTTTACTATGAGACCACCAGCTCAACAAAATAGTACATCAACAGTAAAACATCTTGCACAAAAATGGTTTGTATATGAAATGTTGTGACTTGAACTTGTACATTCATCCTCTAAACCGAGTATTAACTGCCATCAGCACTTGTTTTTTTTAAAAAAGGCAGGCCATTCTAGAAAACTGGAGAACTAGAATGTGTCCAGTGCACAAAGGCAAATGATAATATCTCGAAAGAGTCTTCCCATTGTTTTCCCTGTGGTAACCACGGAGGCTAAAGCGCTTGCTGCTAAACCTTACTAAATGAAAGGAAGAGAGAGAGAATGAATGAACGAATACAAAGCCCCTGCCAAGGTTCATCCAGGTGACACAGGGGGCTTCATTTCACAGAGAAGTAGTTGAAGGTCATTGAGGTCTACATTAAAGCTTAGTTAAAACTGTAACTGTGTAAATATTTTTATTATCAAACTTGTGAATGTTTTGTTTTGCATTGGCTGAATCAAACTATACTGAAAGTAAGCCAGGCAGCCAAAGAACAAGTCCACGGCATTCCTGGCTCACATCAGTGTCAATGGGAGGATTTCCCTATTGTGGCATCAGATGCTCCTGGTCTGCAGAGCCTGTACACTCCTGGAAGGAAAGGAAGAAATTAAAGTAAGGGGGGAGGGGAGAAGCAGCACCCATGTTTGTGGCTGGAGGGCTCAGACGAGAAGGAAATCCCTTATGCATCCAACAGATGGGCTACACATGCATGACTAAACCATCTTTGAAAGCCAGGGCCTGGCACTTTTTTACCATTTTATGAAAAGAGAATCCAGGCACAAGCAGGAACCAGTTCAACCCTGTTTTTTCTGGCACATCCCCAGCATTCTGTTACTACCAACAGGTTCTACAGCCTGGTCCCAGCTGAGCATGGATGCTAACTGGTGAACACTGTTACAAATAGACACAGATACATATGCTAACATTTATTTCTAACAGAGTATGTTAGTTCTACATAAAGTTAATTTTTATAAGTGACAAAAATAGTTTTAAAAGATTTAAATCAAACGTTTACTCCTAAAATCATTTGATATATTTGGGATATGAGTTTTTTCTCATATGCATCTGAATTTTGATCTTGTAGGTTTTCGTTCCAGCTACTCAAACAACAGTAATTTAGTCACATACAATCCCCACACTAGTCTCATCCAGGGTTCCTGCATTCTACAGGACTGCAGCTTTCTTCTGCAGGACAGATTATCCAGCTCTATTGTAAAGACCCAGGTTACCCAGGATGAAATCCATCCAACTCAAGGCTCCCTCTTTCATTTCAGCCTAGGATGACATGCAGAAACATGACCTCCTAAACAGATTCATTGATCAGGGTACAAAAAGATAAACCTCAACATCACTTTAATTGATCCAGGATATTCAGTTCTTTGCAGTAAAACCAATACAGCTAATTGGTGTGAAAGGCAGCTGTGCATTAATATCTTGTTTCTTTCTGTATGAAGGCTACCCTCTTCTAACCTCCTTTCTGTGGTAAAGGGACTAAAATATAATTCAGAGTTGGTAAAAATTAGCTCAGGATGCGTAGTCTGTACTTTGCATTATGTACTATAAGTAATGTTTATTAAGTCATTACCTATATATGCCAGAAACATAGGTACTTTAAAGAATGAATAGATTATAAATCAGAAGAAAAACACTTAGTTCAAGTTTTCTTTCAGGATTACCATATGCAAACTCTTCTCTAAAAATCTGTTTCTAGGCACATTTTTAAATGCTTAGAAAATAAAAAATAAGATTTAACTTGCAAATTAACTTTAAATAAGTGAAATTAAGAAAGCTTAAGTCTTAGTCCCCAGTGTAAATATCCTGCTGTCCTTTTTACATATAAAACATTGGAAATGTTTTCTTGGTAATGAAAATGAATTTAAAGCATATAACCACCCCACCAATAGAACTAACTCTTGCTTCTAGTTTTAAAGAATACAGTATTCTTTGTTTCATGAAGTTTGAGAAGGCTCTCAAAAACAGTCTACGGATACATGTTTTATAAATACTTCTCAAAGGGGAAAGTTTCACATGGATTTTTAACATTAATTCATAATGTACATAAATTTATACTGTTTTCTGCCACTAAAATAGACCACATTTCTACCACAGTTCACATGTTAACATATGACTATTTTAAAGAATCTTAAGTATCTTTTCTTTTCCTCTTTCTAGTATTTTTCTTAGAAAAATACCTGCTTTACCATTTTATCCAGTGTCCTTTCTGAAAAAACAGCATCATGGTGGAAATAATACAAGTTTTTGGCACCAAACAGAACTTCATTCAGATCACATGACAACATCTCACATGCTACGTGACACTGGCTGCCACTTCTAGAAAAAATGCGGCACATAAAGAGACTCCAAGACAGGATGTTTTTTTCCTCCTGACTGATACACAAATGTGCTTTAAATTTACTGTAGCTTAAATCCTCTCCCTGAAAACCTTGATGCAAGTTATGACAAAAGAGTATTTGTTGCCAATATATTCTTTCTTTCTTACAGTCTTAATTAACCAGCTTCAATGTATTTTCAGTGTTACATTGACAGACAAAGATCTGTGGTGATGACAACAGAGAATATGCTTCCCCTAGCTTTTTCAATGGAAATGTCTTTCTAAGTCTCTTTGCTCTAATTAAGTCCATAGTTTCAATATAATCTCCAGAGTAATACATTTAAGATAACCTCAAATGTTAATATTTAAGACTGGCATTGCTTGGAAATATCCAAGCCCAGCACAAGTAGCAGCCATCTCAGATTGCTTTATAGTACATGCAGGATGGCCCCCAGGTAGAACACAAGTGGGGGATGACCTTGGCCTGCAGCACCCAGGAAACCCCAGGGCCTGCACACCCAGTAGAAAGCTACACAGGCCATGCTGGAGCACCACCACCCTGTCCCTGCACAGCTGATCCTTCACAGAAGTCAGAGATTGGTGGACAGTGGTCACAGCCAGTCCTAGCAGCTGACTGGCCTGGGTAAATTCCTCCAATTTACCTGCCAAAAGCAATCAAGACTCAACTACAAGAGGAGGGTGTACTCAGCCCACACAAAAGGCACACCTTGGTTACGCAGATTAGGTGATAGGAAAGGCTGTGCCACTGGACCCTACAGGATACCTACTAAATTAGGCCACACTACCAAAACAGGGAGATATAGTAGCTCCTCCTAATACATACAAACAAACACAGGAAGGATGCCAAAATAAGCAAAGAAACATGTCCCAAATTGAAAGAACAGATCAAAGTTCCAAAGAAAGCACTAAAGGAAATGGAGATAAACAATCTATCACATGCAGAGTTCAAAACACTTGTTATAAGAATGCTCAAGGGACTTAGTGAGGATCTCAACAGCATAAAAAAACACCCAGTCAGAAACAAAGAATACCCTAATTAAAATAAAGAAAAATTTACAGGAAAACAACAGGAGACTGGAAGAAGCTGAGAATCAAATCAATGATTTGGAACAGAAGGAAGCCGAACACAACCAATCAAAACAACAAGAAGAAAAAAGAATTAAAAAAAAAAAATGAAGATAGAATAAGCAAGCAGCCTCTGGGACAACTTCAAGCATTCCAACATTTGTAGCTTTAGGGTTCCAGAAAGAGCAAGAAATCAGAAATCTATTTGAAAAAAAAATAATGAAAGACATCGTCCCTAATTTAGTGAAAGAAATAGACACGTGTGCCCAGAAATCCCAGAGAGCCCCAAACAAGATGGATACAAAGAGGCCCCTCCAAGACACATCATAATTAAAATGCCAAAGCTTAAAGATAAAGAAAGAATCTTAAAAGCAACAAGAGAAAAGCAGTTAGATACCCACAGGGGAGTTCCCATAAGACTCTCAGCTGATTTCTCAAAAGAAACTTTACAGGCTAGGAGGGATTGGGAAGAAATATTCAATAACAGGAAAAGCAAGGAACTACCCCCAAGATTGCTCTACCCAGCAGAGATATCATGATAGAATCAAAGGGCAGATAAAAAGAGCTTCCTAGACAAGAAAAATCTACAGGACCATTATTCATCAACACCAAACCACTGTTATATGAAATGTTAAAGAGGTCTATTTAAGAAAAAGATCAAAATTATGAATAATAAAATGGCAATTAATATCTATCACCAACTGAATCTAAAAAAAAACAAAGCAAACAAGAACAGAGACCAAATCATGGACATGGAGAGAGTTTTCATGGTTGCAGATGGGAGGCTGGTGTAGAGTAATGAGTGAAGGCGTGACGGGATTAAGTAGTACAAAAATGTAATTACAGAACAGTCAGAAGGAAGTACAGTGTAGGAAATGGAGTAGTCAAATAACTTATATGCATGACCCATGGACATGAACAAGTTGTGGGGATTGCCTGAGGGAGAGAGGAGTACTGGGTGGAAGGGGGCTAAGGGGGAAAATTTGGGACAACTATAATAGCATAATCAATAAAACATAATTTTAAAAAATGTAATACCTAAAAGGTGATACCATTCATTGAAATAATTAATAAATATACCTTAAATGTTCCAGAAATCATTATACTTAGTATTATGCCATAATTCAGAGACTCCAGAGATGCTCACTGACAGCTAGATATGCTTCCAAGTTTCGAATGACATAGCAAATTACATTAGCAATCATTTTCAGGCAGCTTCTCTATATCAGTCACTTTAAGAAACCTAAAAAAAAATTCAATTAGCCATTGTACTAGCATGAACGCTGGGATTCAGGCTTTAGAATATCAGAGTAGAGGGAGTTTCAGCCCCATTTCACATCATAAAAAAACCAAACCACTGTCCACACCAACAAAAGGTGAAATG